GGGGGGGGGGGGACAGCAAAAGGGGGGAGAATGTCAGCATCAAAAGCCGGCATGGCCGCGGGCCGGAAGGAAGGGCCCCACCGAGACGGGGCCGCAGTCGAGACGCACGAAGAGATCCAGCTCCAGCTGATCCTGCGGCTTGGGGGGCTGCCCGGGGCCCTGGCGAGTGGCCGCCATGCGGATGCTGATCAGGGCCAGGACCACGATCAGGGCCACGGCGGCCACCACGCCGATGGCGATGCCAACCTTGACCGGGGTGCTGAAGCCGGTCCGGGGGGACCCCTCCCACCGGAGGCAATCCCGCTTGGCGGCCGACACGCACTCCAGGCAGGAGGGGAAGCAGGCGTCGCATTGCAGTGGCCCGGCCGGCGGGGCGCCCGTGCTGCCGCTGCCGGTGCCGCGTGCGCTGTGGCTGGCGCGGCTGGGCCCGAGGCCGGGGCTCCGGGCCGGGGCCGCGAAGCCCGGCCGCCCCTCTCTGGTGGCACCCTCCAGCAGGAAGTACCCCTCCGGGCAGGCGTCCATGTGGCAGTGGCGCTCGAAGAGCACGCGCCCCGGCTGGCAGACAGAGCAGCAAGCCGGCGGGGGCAGGCCGTCGGCCGGACTGCCATCCGGCGTGCCGTCGCCGAGGCCGCCGGCCGCCGGGCCACATTGCTCGCACTCCAGGCACCCCTCCGGGCAGGGCTCACACCGGTCGGTGGCACTGGCCAGGAAGAAGCCCGGCGGACAGGCCTCCAAGTGGCAGCGGCCCTGGAAGAGGACAAAGCCGCGCGCGCACTGGCGACAGCAGCCGGCCGCGGCGGCCGGGCCGGAGCTGCCCGCCTGCCGGGGGTCCTCCTCCTCCTCCTCCTCCTCGGCGGCGGCCGGGCAGTCGCAGGCAAGGCAATTGGCCGAGCAGTCGAGGCAGGCCCCGGCCACGGTTTGCGAGGCGGGGGCCGGGGCCGCGCCACCCGGCCCGGCTCCGGGCCAGACAATGACCCCGGTGGCCGGGCACTGCCTCACGCACTGGCCCCGGTGCAGGAAGAACCCCGCCAGGCACATCTGGCAAACGGTCTCCCCCAGCCGGGAGGTGGGGCTGGCCACGTAGCTGCACCGTTCGCAGCCGGCCGGGCAGTCGATGCACATGCCGCCCATGGCCACGGTCTCCGGCGGGCAGCGATGGGCCAGGCACTTGCCAGTGGCCAGATGCAGGTGGTAGCCCTTGCTGCAGGACATGCAGGCCCCGGACCGGTTGTAGCACTGGCTGCAGTTGCGGTCCGGGCACCATTCCAGCTGGCCGGCGCTCGTGCTGAAGGAGGTTGAGGGCTTTTCCGGCAGGCAGGCCCCGTCCAGCAGGAAGAGCCGGTCCTTGCAGCTGGTGCACCGGTGGGCCGTGGTGCATGAGGCACAGTCCGCCGGGCAGTGCCGGCACTCGGCATCCTTGGACCCGATGTACATGCCCACCGGGCAGGCCGTCAAACAGGCCCCGGTGTCGGGATTCAAGAAGGGCATGTCCCGCGAGCACCGGGTACAGACGACCGCCCCGTCGGATTGGCCGGCGAGCCGGGCCGCCGGCAGCGCCAGCGGGGCGGCGGGAGCCGGCCCCTGCCCCGGCGAGGGGGCCGCAAAGTGGCACTCGTCGCACCCACCGGGACAGGGGGCGCACTCGCCGGGGCCGTCGCTGGCCGAGTCGCTGTCAAGCCGGGGCAAGGAGGAGGCGGAGGCGGAGGCGGAGGCGGCCCCCGGGCGCAGGTACTGCCCCGCCGGGCAGGCGGCCTCCTGGCAAGAGCGGAACTTGGCATCCAACGTCAAGTGCGCCATGCACCGGGCGCACAGGAGCCGGCTGTTCGGAAGCAGCTCCAGGCACCCGTCCGGCAGGGGGAGGCACAAATCCCCGACGGGAATCCCCTCGGCCGGGCTGCCATTCAGCGACTCGGCCAGCACGGGGAAGTACCGATCCGGGCACTGGGGCACGCAGTGGCCCGCATGCAGGAGCCAGCCCTGGCCGCAGGCCAGGCACCCGGACGCCCGACAGGCCAGGCACCCGGGGCCGCAATCCAGGCACCGGCCGCTGGCATGGGCCACCCCCTCGGGGCCGCAGTGCTCGGCACATGTGCCATCGGCCCGGAGGACCATGCCCCCCGGGCAGGCGGTGCAGGCCCCGGGCCCCGGGCCGGAGCACATCGCGCAAGTGGCATCGCACTCGACGCATGTGTCCTGGCAGGCCTCGCAGGCCGGGTCGCACTTGGCACAGGGGGACCCCGCCTGGCAGGGGCAGCCCGGCCCGGTGCCGAGGACCATCTTGACACGCACCGTCGTGTCGGCCGTGTCGGCCGTGTCGGCCGCGTGCGACCACGGCGGGGCGGGGAAGGGCGGCAGGTAGGTCTTCGCGCCGCACAGGTCCGGCAGGCAGACATTGTACTTGGGGGCGAAGACCCAGCCATCGGCGCAGGCGGTGCACTGGGTGGCATCCGGGCCGCTGCAGCTTTGGCAGCCGGGCCAGCAGGGCAGGCAATCCCCGAGGGGGTGGTTTTTCGCCGGCCCCGAGGGGAGCCCCGGCATGTCGAGGCCATTCCAGGGCAGGCCGCTGCTCACGGGCCGCGGGTAGAAGCCGGCCGGGCAGGCACGCACACAGGCGCCCTGGTGGGCCAGCAAGTCGCGGCCCGGGGTGCAGGCGAAGCACGTGCCGCCCGGCACCAGGCACTCGGCGCAAGTGTGCCCGGCCGAGCAGGGCTCACAGCGGCCGGTGCTGGTCCCGCTGTCCCGGACCAGGACCCAGCCCGTGGCACAGGCCTCGCAGGTGTCCGGCCCGGCGCACGACGCGCAGCCCGGCGCACAGCGCAGGCAGGCACCCCCGGACGTCGGGTGGGGATACTCCCCGGCCGGGCAATGGACCACGCACCGGGCGAAGGCCCGCCGAGGCGTGGGGGCCTCGCTGGCGCTGCCCGGCTGGCTCGCGGCGGAGTCCTCCCCGGCCAAGGGGACGGCCGAGTCGAGGGCCAACACCGCCAGCAGCCCGGACAGGCGGAAGCCCGGCTCGCAGGCGAAGCAGGCATTGGCGTCCGTGCAGGAGGCGCACCCGGTGGCGCACCGGTGGCAGGACCCGGACGAGGGGCTCCGGTAGGACCCGGGCTGGCAGGTGACACACACGCCATACTCCTCGGCCGGCTGCAGGCACAGGTCGTCCACGCGGTTGCACTGGCCGCCCGGGGTCGGTCGCCAGCCGGCCGCGCACTCGGCCACGCATCGGCCCGCCTGGAGCCGAAACCCGGTGGCACATTCGGTGCAATCGTGCGACCCCTCGCCCGAGCACCGGACGCACTGGAGCATGTCCGCGCACTTGTGGCACATCCCGTCCACCGGGGCCGGGGCCCCGTTCGGCTGCTCGGGCCCCCAGGCCGAGCACTGGGACACGCACTGGCCCTCGTCCAGGACATGCGCCTGGTCGCAGGCGGTGCACGAGAAGGCATTCACGCAGTGCAGGCACCCGGCCGGGCAGGCCTGGCAGATGGCATCCCCGAGCATGGAGAAGCCGAGATACTCGCGGGAGTGGCAGTTTCGCTGGCAGGTGCCGTCCGTGCGCAAGACCAGCCCGGCGGCGCAGGCGGTGCAGTACTGCGGGAAGCTCGTGTCGCAGTCCAGGCAGTTGGGGTGGCACCTCACACAGGTGTCCTCTGGGTGGGTGGAGGGCCGGCAGCGGCGGCGCCGCCGGGCGCCGGGAGAAACGCGTCGTGTGGGAGCGGCAGGCGGGCGGGTGTCAGACCGGGGCGGGGCTCGGCGTAAGGGGAGGGGAGGCGGGCCGAGAGGCAGAGGCAGAGAGAGGCAGAGAGAGGCAGAGAGAGGCAGAGAGAGGCAGAGAGAGGAGCCCAGGCGCACCGGGGAGGAGCTCCATCGGCGAGACGCCTGATGGGGGGCAAAAGTCAAAGTCCCCCCTATTGCCGGGGTACAGGTCATCGGTGTCCAGTGGCCCGTGCGGCAGGGAGTTGGCGCTGGCCGGTCGGCCGGCCGGGAGAACGCCGAACAGAAGCAGCAGGCCGCACAGGGCCGCCAGCAGGAGGTGGTGGCGGCGATGGCGGCGAGTCAGGGGCATGGCTCGCGCGGCCGGCTGGAGCACGGATCGGCGCCACAGCGGATACGGACGGCGGGCACCAGGGTCCAGGCGAGGTTCAAAGGGTGGGTGGCGAGGGTGGGTGGCGAGGGTGGTAGGGGAGGGGGGAGGAGGGCAAGGCGAAGTGGTGCTTGGAGCATGGAGCCGGGGCAACGGGGATCTGCCCAAGGGCCCGAGAGCACACTCCAAAGCAGGCACTGAAATCTGGCACGCCATGGCCTCGGAAGGGGGCGCGAGGGGTTTGACAAGTGGCCGTGCCT